CATTTTGACTAACAAGCATTATATGCCTAGTGGGTTGGAGATGCTTTAAAGGTTCTAGAATTTATTTCCATATACATTTCATTTTAATTAATTTCCATTAGTTTAAGTTATCACCTCTTAATTTTAGTTAATCTTGATTAATCAAAATTTAATTAATCATAACTAATCACAAGTCCTACATAATTTAATTAGTCTAATTGAATTCAATTAATGCCCAATTAATTATAATTAAATTTATCAATCTGAATCAGATTTTTAATCGAACTCCCAAAAGGCTCTAAATATTAAATTAAACTTATTTTCATTCTCAATTTTGGTTTCTTAAATCATTTAAGCCTTTAATTTTTTATTAGACTAAAAATTTCGTCAATAAATTACATATTCAAATTAGGCACCACATAAATGAATTTAATTCATAATAATCTTAATTTTCAATCCTCTTAACTTAATTAACTCCAATTTGGACCAAATTAATCAAATCTCAATTTATAAATTTAAATCGAATATTTAATTAAACTCTCATATGGTCCGATACTCCAAATTAAAATAATTTAATTCACCATTTGTACTCTCTTGAGCCATTTAGGTTTTCAATTTCTAATTCCAAAATAAATCTTCAATAGAATCATATATGAATCAGTCTTCATAATTTTCATAAATCCCGGATAAAATCAGAGTAATGAGCAATTAAATTTAAATCTCTTTGATTAATTTAAATGCTAATTATTATACGTGGTAGGGTCGTTACAATTTCCTTCTTCTGACCATTTTGTTTGAGTATTACCACTGTATTGTTCAAACACTTTTGCTGAAAAGAAGTTGAATTTTGAAAGTTTATAAATTTCTGGAACAGCAACTTCTTGTATTTTTCCAAATTTTACTAATTCTTCGTCGGTAAAAATTTTTTCTTCTCCAATTACATCTCCGAGTCAAATTGCCTGTAATTCTTCTTGAGATATACTATCTGCTTATTGAGATATTTCTTTACTATTATTAGTCATCATGAATATTAGTTCTTCATCTGAACTTTCTTCATCACTAGAAATTTCATATAAGATTTTTTCTTCATCAGAATTTTTTTCGTAATATATTATTTCAAAATCTTGTTCTTCAAGAACTTTGATAATTTTCTTTGCACTTTTTTTTTCCTTTTTGGGCATTCGGGTGAATAGTGACCTTCTTCGTTACAAATGTAACATTTACAAGTTTTTTTTTTGAAACACTTGTTAGTTTGTTTTTTCGAATATACTTTTTCTTTTTTGAAAAAGTTTTGTTCTTTTTCCAAGGCTTCCATTTATATTTTCTGTGTTTTTTGGAAAATCCTTTTCATTTAGGAAATGTATTACAACCAATTTTCTAATTTTCTTTTAAAATTTTATCACAACATTTTTGACTGTATTGTAAGTTGGAAATTTGATTTTTTATTTGTTTTTTCACTTTTGCTTCTAGACACTGATTTACTATCAGTTTTAGAACATAATTAATGCGAAAACCAATATTATCATATTATTCCTTCCCCATTTTTTTGAGAAAATCAAGATATGTTTTAATACATAACTCATCTCATGGATTAGGGAGTTTATGGAAAAATTGATCTAACCAGGGTTGATTTGCTGGTGGATCAATAATATACTAATTTTTTAAAAGTTTGAACATAGTCTTCAAAAAGACAAATATTACATAATTCTAATTTAGTCAAAATATAATTTGCATCTGCTTGCAAATTAGTATCTCCTACAAAACTCATAAATTTTCTTTTATGATTTTCGCAAACTCAACTAAAATTGTGTCAAGTGTGAGAAAATTTGTTAATGAAGCCGTTTTTTGACTTTTTCTAATTTCAGATTTTTCCCACTGTCTTAACCATTGCAACACATCTCCTCGGAGAGTTGATGCAATATAATTAAGGAATTTTTCCTTTGACCAACTATTTTTATAATTGGTAATAATGATGGACAAGGATTGTGCCCAATCATCAATTGCTTGTTCCTGATCCTTAAATGGAACATGAGACAAGTCTAAATAAGTACCATTTTGAGCTATTGGAAACTTATGATTATTATCTTTTCTAGATATTACTGGCTCAGGTGTAGGATTGAAAGTACTTCCAGTGTTAGTATCATTTTTAACTTCATTTTTCTGAATAAAGTCAAAATTTTCTCCATCTCCCTATGTGCCAAATAATTCTGGATTAATTTGCTCTTCTGCCTTTTTTTTTCCTTTATTTATTTCTGGTGAAATATCTTGATCTAATTTTTCTTCAGATGAGGATGATTGATTGTCATCATCATTAGTTGACATATTAATATCATAATTAAAGTGCTGTAAAAATGCTTCATATTCTACATTAGTTTATCTTATCTGATCTAGTAGCCTATTTCTTTCATCAATACCTAAATCTGGATCTTTATATAATTTTCTCCAATAATCTAATATTTCAACAATATTTTCATATTCAGCCATATTATAGGTATTGGTTTGAAGAATCATAATATCTTTTGTACCGTAAAATAACTTAGGGATGTAACTATCTGCTGGACTATTCATTCCATCATTGTTTGTGAATGATATATGTGTGGGTGAAAATCTGACCACACTGCTTACTTAGTGATCAACTGGTGAGCACCGGCAGAATAGATGGCTTCAGCAACCTGAAACAGAAAGAAAAAGGATCCGGTGGTGATTCTTCCAGCCGGGGGCACTCCGACGATCAAGTCAGTATATCTCTCAAAGATAATCAAGTGCAAAACTTAACACTCAAAACATAAATTGCATACCTTAGACCCACGGGGGTGCCTCTCTTTTATAATATACTCAATCCAAGTCCCACTAGAAGTATGACTTCTATGAACTCCAATTTTAGTGCTTACTTTGGACTCTTTAAGAGATAAAGATAAACTCCCTAAGAGCTTTATCTTTATCTTGGTTAAGTCCCCTCTTTGCCTTAGGACTCTTGTCCCTTATCTGCTTATCTCGGATTCCGATATCTTCGGGAATAACCTCGGTAACTCCGAGATCTTCTCGGCATAATTACCACGACACGTGGCACCTTGGCTGACACGTCGGCGTCACCATGCCACGTGTTGGTATTCAGAAAATATATCCCCACAACTGCCCCCTAGGTTCTATTACCTCGACATTCTGAGGTGATGGAACCTATACCGACATTTCAACATTTCTTTTCTGAGTAATGGCTACAAACTGTTTTAGCCGAGATAATCCTCTTCCAGCCGAGTGTTCTCTTCGGAGAACAAGGCTTTGATCGTACTTTTCCACGCGCATGAGCTGTCATGCATATCTAACCGTTCCGTTCTACGTGTTTTGTCTTCATTGGAGCGTGTCTGTGACGCGCCTGAAAGCTGTCTGTCATTTGTATGCGCCGTCTGACGCCTGCATTGCTCTAGGCGTAATAATTGCCCTAATTTTGCCGCCGTTTCAAATTTTTGACAAAACTCTTTTTTGCCTCTACTTTTCCTTCACTTTTCCATTCTGGTTTTTTGCTCTTTCTCTCTCTGAAAGCTCTTTCTTCTTCGAATCTGCCATTGCTTCGATCTCTCTTCTGGAACTGTCCTTAATCTCCCATTCTTGTGAAGCTTTCTTTGCTGTTGCAACCGATTTCTGAGCTCGGCGAACATTACCCCGGCTTCATTTGTTCTGGTAAGACCCTTTCCTTTAATTCTTCTATTCTCTTTATGTGTTTTTACCATTACTGCTTTGTTGCTCGATTTCTCCCATATTTTGAACATTTGTACTGTTTCAATATTTTTATTGCCATAATTCTTGACCCTTATCCCTTTGTATTCTTCGTGTTTCTGATAGTCCATCTTTGTTCTTGAATCTGAGACTTCGTCTTTGTTTTCTCTTTTTTGTATCTGTCCCAGATTTGTGCCTTCGATCTTGATCTTTATAGTTCTTAGGTTTGGGATTTGTGCGTAGAACCTTCAAATTTAGGGAAAACTGAAACAAGCCTTATCATCCCTTTCCTAGGTCTCTGCCGAGGTTCTTGTAACCCTTCTTAAAAACGCCCGTCTTCTGAAACATATTTTAAGCGGACATAATGGGTATGTGGAGGCATAGGGTAAATACCCCAACAAAACTTGAATACTTTAGGCAGGAATTCTCTATCCCAGCCGATGTTCACCTTAAGCTAGCTGGGGATAATGATACCATCATGCCCACAGATCATACAATGCCTTTTCCTATAGTAGCTTTTACCGAATGCGGACTTCGGCTTCCACTTCACCCCCTTGTTCGTGAAGTTCTTTATTTCTACAGGCTGAACCCCATGCAACTTATTATCAACTCATATAGGGTGATTAACGGTATTATAGCTTTATCTAGGCAGGAGAATCTTAGAATCACCCTGGCCGACCTTCAGTACTGCTATACCATATGTCCCCTCAACCTGAAGGACAGGGGCTTCGTTTATTACCTTAAGCCGAGATCCACCCAGTTTAAAATTGTAGCCGACCTTCCAGACTCCAACAAGGGGGCTGGAGATGACTTTGTTATTGCGTCGGGAAATTGGGAATTTGGCCCAGACGAGGATGTCCACCTCTACCCTCTTCCTCGAACAATTTCAGAGGGCAAGGGTAAGAGCCTTGAGCCAACACTTAGTTGTTTTTATTTAAGTCTTTAATACTTTCTGTTTCTGACATCTGTCTCTTTGTCCTGCAGATCTTTATCAGCCACCGAAAAACTTCCGCCAATCCTTCATCCCAGGAACAGATCTGAAAAAACTTCTTGACCTTCCAGTCCACAAACGAAAAGCCCCACTATTACTAAACTTCATCCCTACGTATAAATCTACTTTGCCCGACATCCCAAGAAGGAAGAAAAAGAGTCTGTCTCCACCTACTGCTACAACTTTAGCCGCTTCTTCGTCCCGAACAGATCAAGGATCCACTTCTGACCCAGCCGATCTTCCATCAACTTCAGCCCCCTACTTAATACCAATTCCGGAGCGTAAACGTCGACGAAGACTTGTAAAGACTGCCGAGATGGTTCGTCCAAGGCCTGTCGTTCAAGATCTTCTTACCGACCTTCCAACTGACGCCGAAGCTGTACCAACGCAATCAACGCTCCCACCAAAGCCAAAGAGAGTTAAAAAGGCTCAACCCAAGGCCAATGCTACAGAAGCCGAGGCTGAGGATGCTTTGCCTATTTCTAAACTGGAAGAAAGCAAAAAATCAACCTCTCCTGCCACCAAGAGGTCTGCTAAGGGCCAACCCTCAGGGTCTACACAATCTAAGAGGCCAAGGTCATCGTCCGCGACGACCTCGGCGTCAAAGAAGCCCGACGTCCCATGGTCTCCTGAACTATCTCTGGAGGATAGGCCTATCATGGCCAGTGAAAGTGCCGACGATATTAACGTTGGTGTCGCCCTCAGCACTGCTCTTCTCCTTCCAAATGATTTAGATCGAAATGCTAAGCTTAGCGAGTATGAGAATTACGCTCTCATGCTCCAACACTCCGTTCAAGTAAGTGTTCCTGTTTGCATTTGCGATTTTTCCTTCTGTTTCCTACTGAAAATATTTTCTAACACTTCTGTTTTTCCTTAGGCCATTCAGCACGCCCATTCATTTTCAATGCAATCCTTTGAAAATCGGCAAAGGTTGGTTGATATGAAGAGGGAAGCATCTTCCATGAAGAAGGAGATCAGATCTCTTGAATCAAGGATGAAAAAATTGGAAGATCAGGCCGAGGCGGCTACTAAGGCCCAAACTTTAGCTCTTGAGAAGGCCGAATCTGCTGAGGCCGTGAAAAAAGTTGCTGAGGCCGAGAAAAGAGATGCTGAGGCTGAGAAAAGAGATGCTGAGGCTAAGAAGGCCCAGGCGGAGAAAGAACTTCAGCAAGCTCTGGCCACCAAAGAGGCCGAAGTCAAAGAGGCCGACGAGAAGGCCTATGCCCAGGGTATGGCCGACGTCGCAGAGGATTATAAACTTCAAGTCAGGCAGGCATGCAACAGGGGATTTTCCCTTGGTTGGATGTCCTTGATTAAAAAAATTGATCTTCCTGTTGACTCGCCTTTTCGTAATGCCGATGTCATTCCATCTTGAACACTTGCATTATTTT